CAGGAATTTCATTGTGGATGATGGTCTGAAGATTTATAGCCTTCAGCTGGAACTGTATGGTGACATTAATGAGCCTGAGAGAGAGTGTGTTGATATTAGAGTTTTAGATTATCAATTTGAAACTTGCATTAAAAAACCCGTTTAACTTACTTGTGAAACTTGAGGGTGAAGTTCCTGTAATCACGGCCCAGACCTGCTGTGGGAGTGGACAAAGGGTTCACTCCAATACAGTCTACAGAGAGGAAGAGAGAAATTCATCACCAACTGAAGCAGCCGCAGTGACCGACAGTGTCCTCGGGAGGCAAGTCTGGTCAACAGCAAGATTTTGTTTTTAGATTTATTTTTGAAAGTGATTCCTGTGGTACACTCAGTAACAAGGAACTGCAAGTAACAACAACGTGCAAAAGAGGAAGTAACAAGATCTTTTAGTTTCATCAACAAAAATAAACAATTCAATTAATAATTATAAATTATAAATAATTATAAATAATTAAATAATGAATTTATAAGTGCTAGAAAACTGATATTTCAGGCTCCTTAAGTCTTTGCCAACACAAAACATCTGTTTTAGTTAAAACAACGACTAAAATCAGAACAGGAATAAACTTGGGATGAAATAGAGGCTGGAAACTGTCACCTGTGACCACATGCGGATCGATGTTGAAGGTGTCGTTAGCTGGGTCGATCCTGCCTTTTTTATAATACTGCTGACACAGAGACAGCGCACTTCCGTTCACACCGACATTGTACACATACGCATAACGGCCCACTGTCGTCTCCGGCAAAGCCAGGTACTGAAAGACAAGTGAGAAGAATAGGCGTTATATAAGGCATATAAAAATAAACATGACCACTCGTGACCAAACTCCAGCTGGGAAAGGCAGAATAGCTGCTGTAGATGAATAATATAGTCATTCATAAAAAGTATATATGCATTAAAAAATACACTTACGCAGTTATACAGCCAAACAAACAAGATACTTTCAGAAGACAGAGGCTGAACGTAAGCCAAATTGTGTTATGACTACACTGAGCTCACTACCCACATATATCCCTCAAAGCATATGAATTAGTAAATTGATACATTACCTGTTCTATTGTGTAAAACATGTGGTCATAAACATCACTCTGTGTGTAAACAGCAAGCGCATCATTTGAATCATCGTAGTCTTTGAGAAAAAGGTGTTTAAATGAAGCTGTGTTTTCCTCTTTAAACGTCACCACCATCTCATTGCTTAAGCCAAAAAGTACCAGCTAGACATAATGAAACAGCACAAAAAGAGAGAGGAATCATTTTTAGTAACAAGTGATCAGTGCCAAATGAGACCAAAAATTGTGTATATTTTTTCTTGAGTATCAGTCAGCTGAATATTTTGCTTAAAACTCTACAAGAGAAATTCATGCTTATTAGCCAGCCTATTAAACTCTGTGACACTTCAGAGAGCAAAACCAAAGGTTAATTTAGATGGGCCCACAGTAGGGCATGTCATAGTGGTTAAAGAATAATTTGGGGGTAAAACTGAGACTTTGAGCTGCAACGCTGTCTTTAGTAAGCTGTGGGATGAGTATATGAGCTGTAGAAATATAAGTATAACAGGAATTTAAATACCTGTACAGTTACTATAAGTATCTTCAGTATTTGCAATACCAGTTTAAAAGGTTTTCGGCCTTTGGCTTGGTACTTTTCACAG